AAACTATGGACTATACCGTAAACCTAGATTTGAAGTGTTCGTGACTGCAATGATCCATACTCTTTGGTTCTTTAGGTAAAGTCACGTAAAAAATATATATTTTTTTACCTACGTGACTTTACCTAAAGAACCAAGGAGTTATATATCGTAAACCCATAGAGACAACGCAGAGCTCGAGAGAGACCCGCAGATACGCGTACAGACACCAGACGAGCCACAGTCGGGAGAGAGTGGCAATGCAACACAATCCACGGGTTGCTGGAGTCTCCGCTCCTTCTACGGAACAGCAACATTGCACGAACTCTCTCTCTCTCTCTCTCCACCGAAGCCCTCTGGCGAGCAGCAGACCTCGACATTGGCACGGAGTTCCCGAAGAACACATTGCTGCTGCTGCTGCTGCCATCATTGTGCAGGAAGAGCATTGCCCCAGCAGTCTATATTCGCCCATGGTTTGTGGCGAGGCTGGTGTGGGAGCGAGGCGGGGGGGGGGGTGGGGTCTGTGCGCGTTCATTGACCATCTCTTCATCATTCTCTGGCAGCTCCACACAGCCACGCCGTTTAATTCGCCTTCAGTGTGACGGTTGCGACGCGCGGCGGGCGCTTATCCGACTCGAGTGGGGAGATAACTCGCGCGAGGGTCATTAGCCGTGACGGGAGAGGGAGGGGGTAGGAGGGGGCACCGACGAACTAAGAGACGAGGCGTAATTGTTTGGGGGAGCAGATGGTGGGTTCGGAGGTTAGAAGGGACCTCCGTTTAGCACGGTTTGGCTACGTACAGTGTGAAAGAAGTTTAACATACGCACACACTCACACACACACACAAGGGAGGGAGGATGTGGGGGGAGGGTGCAGGTAAGATGAAGAATTTAGTCATGAGCATTGGGGAGAAAGGGAAGATGTGGGATTAATTATGCAATTGGTTTATTGTTGAATTTGGCAGGTGAGGATAGAGGGGCTATAGGGAGGGATGCTGCTGCGAGACGAGACGAGGTGGTGTGGGGGGGGGGGGGGTAGATTAGTTGTTCATGTGGTGGTCACCTCAGGGGGGGTAGATTGGTTGTTCATGTAGTGGTCACCAAAGGGTTGGTGTGTAGATTGGTTGTTCATGTGGAGGTCACCAAAGGAGTAGTGTGTAGATTGGTTGTTCATGTAGTGGTCACCACAGGGGTGGTGTGTAGATTGGTTGTTCATGTGGAGGTCACTACAGGTGGGGTAGATTGGTTGTTCATGTGGTGGTCACCACAGGAGGGGGTTAGATTGTCTGTTCATGTGGTGGTCACCAATGGGGCGGTGTAGATTGGTTGTTCATGTGATGGTCACCACAGAGGGGGCAGATTGGTTGTTCATGTGGTGGTCACCAATGGGGCGGTGTAGATTGGTTGTTCATGTGGTAGTCACCAATGGGGTGTGTAGATTGGTTGTTCATGTGGTGGTCACCAATGGAGTGTGTAGATTGGTTGTTAATGTGGTAGTCACCAATGGGGGGTGTAGATTGGTTGTTCATGTGGTGGTCACCAATGGGGGGTGTAGATTAGTTGTTCATGTGGTAGTCACCAATGGGGTGTGTAGATTGGCTGTTCATGTGGTGGTCACCAATGGGGTGTGTAGATTGGTTGTTCATGTGGTGGTCACCAATGGGGTGTGTAGATTGGCTGTTCATGTGGTAGTCACCAATGGGGGGTGTAGATTGGCTGTTCATGTGGTAGTCACCAATGGGGGGTGTAGATTGGTTGTTCATGTGGTAGTCACCAATGGGGTGTGTAGATTGGCTGTTCATGTGGTAGTCACCAATGGGGGGTGTAGATTGGCTGTTCATGTGGTGGTCACCAATGGGGTGTGTAGATTGGCTGTTCATGTGGTGGTCACCAATGGGGTGTGTAGATTGGCTGTTCATGTGGTGGTCACCAATGGGGTGTGTAGATTGGCTGTTCATGTGGTGGTCACCAATGGGGTGTGTAGGTTGGCTGTTCATGTGGTGGTCACCAATGGGGGGTGTAGATTGGTTGTTCATGTGGTAGTCACCAATGGGGTGTGTAGATTGGTTGTTCATGTGGTGGTCACCAATGGGGTGTGTAGATTGGCTGTTCATGTGGTGGTCACCAATGGGGTGTGTAGATTGATTGTTCATGTGGTGGTCACCAATGGGGTGTGTAGATTGGCTGTTCACGTGGTGGTCACCAATGGGGGGTGTAGATTGGTTGTTCATGTGGTGGTCACCAATGGGGGGGGTGTAGATTGGTTGTTCATGTGGTGGTCACCAATGGGGTGTGTAGGTTGGTTGTTCATGTGGTGGTCACCAATGGGGTGTGTAGGTTGGTTGTTCATGTGGTAGTCACCAATGGGGTGTGTAGGTTGGTTGTTCATGTGGTGGTCACCAATGGGGTGTGTAGGTTGGTTGTTCATGTGGTAGTCACCAATGGGGTGTGTAGGTTGGTTGTTCATGTGGTGGTTACCAATGGGGTGTGTAGGTTGGTTGTTCATGTGGTGGTCACCAATGGGGTGTGTAGGTTGGTTGTTTCATGTGGTAGTCACCAATGGGGTGTGTAGGTTGGTTGTTCATGTGGTGGTTACCAATGGGGTGTGTAGGTTGGTTGTTCATGTGGTAGTCACCAATGGGGTGTGTAGATTGGTTGTTCACGTGGTGGTCACCAATGGGGTGTGTAGGTTGGTTGTTCATGTGGTAGTCACCAATGGGGTGTGTAGGTTGGTTGTTCACGTGGTGGTTACCAATGGGGTGTGTAGGTTGGTTGTTCATGTGGTAGTCACCAATGGGGTGTGTAGATTGGTTGTTCACGTGGTGGTCACCAATGGGGTGTGTAGGTTGGTTGTTCATGTGGTAGTCACCAATGGGGTGTGTAGGTTGGTTGTTCACGTGGTGGTCACCAATGGGGTGTGTAGATTGGCTGTTCATGTGGTGGTCACCCATGGGGTGTGTAGATTGGCTGTTCATGTGGTGGTCACCCATGGGGGGTGTAGATTGGCTGTTCATGTGGTGGTCACCAATGGGGGTGTAGATTGGTTGTTCATGTGGTGGTCACCCATGGGGGGTGTAGATTGGCTGTTCATGTGGTGGTCACCAATGGGGTGTGTAGATTGGCTGTTCATGTGGTGGTCACCAATGGGGTGTGTAGATTGGCTGTTCATGTGGTGGTCACCAATGGGGTGTGTAGGTTGGCTGTTCATGTGGTGGTCACCAATGGGGGGTGTAGATTGGTTGTTCATGTGGTAGTCACCAATGGGGTGTGTAGATTGGTTGTTCATGTGGTGGTCACCAATGGGGTGTGTAGATTGGCTGTTCATGTGGTGGTCACCAATGGGGTGTGTAGATTGATTGTTCATGTGGTGGTCACCAATGGGGTGTGTAGATTGGCTGTTCACGTGGTGGTCACCAATGGGGGGTGTAGATTGGTTGTTCATGTGGTGGTCACCAATGGGGGGGTGTAGATTGGTTGTTCATGTGGTGGTCACCAATGGGGTGTGTAGGTTGGTTGTTCATGTGGTGGTCACCAATGGGGTGTGTAGGTTGGTTGTTCATGTGGTAGTCACCAATGGGGTGTGTAGGTTGGTTGTTCATGTGGTGGTCACCAATGGGGTGTGTAGGTTGGTTGTTCATGTGGTAGTCACCAATGGGGTGTGTAGGTTGGTTGTTCATGTGGTGGTTACCAATGGGGTGTGTAGGTTGGTTGTTCATGTGGTGGTCACCAATGGGGTGTGTAGGTTGGTTGTTCATGTGGTAGTCACCAATGGGGTGTGTAGGTTGGTTGTTCATGTGGTGGTTACCAATGGGGTGTGTAGGTTGGTTGTTCATGTGGTAGTCACCAATGGGGGGGTGTAGATTGGTTGTTCACGTGGTGGTCACCAATGGGGTGTGTAGGTTGGTTGTTCATGTGGTAGTCACCAATGGGGTGTGTAGGTTGGTTGTTCACGTGGTGGTTACCAATGGGGTGTGTAGGTTGGTTGTTCATGTGGTAGTCACCAATGGGGTGTGTAGATTGGTTGTTCACGTGGTGGTCACCAATGGGGTGTGTAGGTTGGTTGTTCATGTGGTAGTCACCAATGGGGTGTGTAGGTTGGTTGTTCACGTGGTGGTCACCAATGGGCTGTGTAGATTGGCTGTTCATGTGGTGGTCACCCATGGGGTGTGTAGATTGGCTGTTCATGTGGTGGTCACCCATGGGGGGTGTAGATTGGCTGTTCATGTGGTGGTCACCAATGGGGGTGTAGATTGGTTGTTCATGTGGTGGTCACCAATGGGGTGTGTAGATTGGCTGCTCATGTGGTGGTCACCCATGGGGTGTGTAGATTGGCTGTTCATGTAGTGGTCACCCATGGGGGGTGTAGGTTGATTGTTCATGTGGTGGTCACCAATGGGGTGTGTAGATTGGTTGTTCATGTGGTGGTCACCACCACGCTCTGGGTCAGACTGAGACGTGGAACGTGTCGGTGTACCAGCTATGAAAACCAAACTCAACGTAGCTACGAGAGCCCCCCTCGCTGTTTAGAGAGGGGGATGGGGAGAGCGGGGCGAAGGGGTCCGTGGTGGGGGTATGTTTCTGCAGGTCGACTCAGCCTCAAATGAGTACCTGGTGCGGTGTGTAAACGTCACCACTGGGAAGACAAAGGCGGCCTGGCGTGGTTTTAGCCACCCACCCCGTCGTGTGCCGTGCTGACCTTTATAGGTGCTTGCTAACAGCACTTGTTCCAAAAGTCTCTTTCTTACTATACGGGGGATCTTTGCACGTTTCTGTAAGGCTATGTATATTCCTCGAAGGTCATGCACGTTCCCGGAAGGTCGCGTTCGACAGCGGGTCGTGAATGTTCCTGCATGGTAACGAATATCGCCAGGTCACATGTGTGGGTAAGCCCGTACGGTCGCGTTTTGACCCCAGAGCGTTGTGAGGTCGCTCTTGTAAATAAGACTCTATCCCGGGTCTCCTAATGACGCGACATGACCCTGGAACTCGAGCTCACTCTGTCTCTCTCGACCGTCTCGTTGCCAGCTCGCCATGCCGCGTCTCCGCTTCCTGCAGCAGCCGCCGCCGCCGCCGCTGCCGCCGCTGCTGCTGCCGCTGCTGCTGCTCGGCTGCGTGAGCCTCGCGCGAACCTCGTGGAGCCTGGACCCTGAAGACCCCAACGTGTGCAGCCACTGGGAGAGGTCAGAAGGCGCCGGGGAAGGGGGCGGGGCGCAGCGGGGGGCGGTGGGGTTCTCACCATGGTCACGCTCCCCCCACTCCCCCCCCCCACTCCCCCCCCCACTTCCCCCCCCCCCCACTTCCCCCCCCCCACTTCCCCCCCCCCCACTTTCTCCCCCCCCCACTTTCACCCCCCCACTTCCCTCCCCACTCCCCCCCCACTTCCCCCCCCACTTCCCCCCCACTTCCCCCCCCACTTCCCTCCCCACTCCCCCCCCCCACTTCCCCCCCCCCACTTCCCTCCCCCACTTTCCCCCCACTTCCCCCCCAACTTCCCCCCCCCACTTCCCCCCCCCCACTTCCCCCCACTTCCCCCCCACCACACCGTTCGAAATTCACGAACCTTTATTTATTGATTTATCCACGAGAGTCACACCGAGTCGCGGGGCTCCGTTTTATGCGGCTCCTCCAACTGCGTTAAGACGTTTTAGTTAAGATGTGTTCAGCCAATTAACGAGTTCATTTGATTTGTTACACGGATGATGGAGCCCCACTATTTTACACGGCAGATCCGTGGTGAGTGTTTATTAGCACTGTTACACACGTGGCAGGAAAACCGGAGCAGCCGGAGAAACCCTGCGCGCGAGCATTGGGGGCAAGCCGCACACTCTGGCCCCGTACGGATGGGAAATCGATGGCGATTAGTCCACTTGCTGCGTGTGTGTACTACACACTGCGTGTGTGTACTACACACTGCGTGCGTGTACTACACACTGCGTGCGTGTGTGTACTACACACTGCGTGTGTGTGTGTACTACACACTGCGTGCGTGTGTAGTACTACACACTGCGTGCGTGTGTGTACTACACACTGCGTGTGTGTACTACACACTGCGTGTGTGTATTACACACACTGCGTGTGTGTATTACACACATGATGCGTGTGTGTACTACACACTGCGTGTGTGTACTACACACTGCGTGCGTGTGTGTACTACACACTGCGTGTGTGTGTACTACACACTGCGTGTGTAGTACACACTGTGTGTACTACACACTGCGCATGTGTGTGTGTACTACACACTGCGCATGTGTGTGTGTACTACACACTGCGTGCGTGTGTATGCTACACACATGCTGCGTGTGTGTACTACACACACTGCGTGTGTGTAGTACACACTGCATACGTGTATGTGTGTACTACACACTGCGTGCGTGTGTGTACTACACACTGCATACGTGTATGTGTGTACTACACACTGCATGCAGTGTGTAGTACACACTGTGTGTGTACTACACACTGTGTGCGTGTGTGTACTACACACTGCATGCGTGTGTGTGTACTACACACACGCATGCACGCAGCCCACGCGCCGCATTTGCACATTGATGGCTTAATTAGTTTATGGAGAATTAATTCCGTTCTTAACGTCCCCTTTCTCGCGGGCCGCGTTGCTTTCATCGAATGAATCGCCGCGAGTTTACGACCGCGTGCCCGGGGGCCCCAGCGCTCGCGGAGGCGAGGGGCCGGGGAGTGGGCGACGAGCTTGGTGCTCCGCTCGCGCGCGGTCTCGCGGGGCCCGCGAGTTGCCCGGGGAGGGATGGCGGCGGTTTACGGCGAGTGCGTTCGTGAACCCGTCCGTGCGGATCTTTGCGTGTTGGTGTTGGGAGAGAGGGGGCGGGCTGCCTGAGAATACTAGTTGTTATAGGCTGGGGCTGCGAGGTGGCCAGATGATGGGAGTCCGTATAGAAGCGGAGCTTTGAGCATTGATCAGCCCAACCCGCGTATGGTTCCATTGGATTTTCTCCGGGTTATTCACTTCCCTCCCAGATGAAGGTAAAAAAAACCCACTCGAGAATGGAATCGGACAAACATCCCAACGTGGCAGGATCCTCCCGATCACGAGTCTAGAGACTCGTGGGTGGAGTCGGTTGTAAGGTCGACACGTGGATCTGACGCCGCTGTGACTGCTGCGTTCACAGACCCCCTCTCCCTAAGTCCAGTCCATGTTCAAGTCCAGGCTGAAGCGCCTGATCCTCTCCTCTGCCTGTGACCCAATCCCTTGACGGAATCCTTCTTCAACCCTAGATCAACTTCAGGATCACCCGCACCGACTGCCAAATCCTCCAAGGATTCTGCTCCCCACCGTCCTCCGTTTATTTATTAGATTTTTTTTTCTGAACCACAGCCAACGAAGACCATTACTCTTGTTTTACTTCAACACCTATCATCATTATCATCATACGCAATGATCTCTCCACTGCTGGATGAAAGCCCTTGCCCCTTTAAGTCGTCACCATATCTCGCGGTTCAACAATCACTGTAGCTCCCGCACGCCAGCAGCCCTCGCCGTCCAGCCTGCCCATTGGACCACGGCTAACTCGAGCGCCTTCCATCCTTTGGCCGCCACTCCGGAGTTAGCCTCGTCCGTCATTTCTGCCTCCGAAATGTCAGAGGATTTACAACAAAAAACGGAGCTGCTAACGTTAGGGGGGGGGGGGGGGGGTGGTGTGCGGGGGGACGCGTCAACATGCGACCACAATTCAAGGTCATTCAATTCGTTGTAAACCACCAAAGCGGCGGCGGCGGCGGCGCGGAGGCTCACTTGCTTGACCGTAGTGCTCAGCTTGCCTTGTTTGGACGCCGGCCCCCTCGGTCCACGGAGAGGCTGCAGCGGCGAGACAGCAGAGAGAGACGGGGGGGGGACGAGAGGGAGAGTGTCGCTCTATAGCCAACACCGCTGTTGTTTGAGCAAATTATGGTAATAGCCCGAGATCCCCCCACGGGGCTCGAGGTGACGCTCACTCGGGGTTGAGGGGTGGGGTGCTGGCTGAGTGTGAGCAGCGACTTTTCATCTCACCCCGTGTTCACGGGGCCAGATTTTATTGCCGGAGCCTAAAATTCTCATTTGAAGTCTGGTCCCTCCGTCCGCAGTCTTTTATTCACTTGACTTTATTTATGCTTCACTGTTTACCTCCTCAAAGAGGCTGGTTGGGGTGTAGGGAGGGAGGGGGAGGGTGTACCGGCGGGGAGGATCCTGGGGATACGGGGATGAGGGAGGCGGTGAGAGAGTGGAGCAGGTTTGCAAAATGTGAATTATTAAAAAAGTAATGTTTAGTAATAATGCCAGCTGCAGCAACATAAACATCTATTCGGATGGAATAGGCTCTCTGGAAAGGGTCTCGCGCCACATCCAATGTGAACTTCTCTGCGGTGCTGCGATGTTTAATCTTGTGTCACATCCTGGTGCGGGCAGTAATGATGGTTTACAGAGATTTATTTCTGTTGATAATATATGGGGGGGGGGGGGGGATGGGGGTGTGGGGGGTTGGGGTTCCCCCCGCCCAAGACAGCTTGCAATAATTTGTTGGTGGGAAGACAAATGGGTGTACATTGTTCCACCAAAAGCGTGGTGCAAAACGCCTTGGCCCTGGTGAGTTGTGCTGGTGGGAAAACGAGTCACCGCTGTCAGCAGCCACGGTCTATTCACCGCTGGACGAAGGCCTCCGTATAAACCGTCGCCATCTCTCACGATCCCGAGAATTCAACACTCCATCTCCGCGATGCACGTCCGGCCACGCGCGCGGCTTCCCAGTCTCCCTGGCTGCCACTCACTCAGTCGATAGTCCCGAACGCCACTCGAAGTTATTACCCCGCGAACCTCCCGACTAGCGCGGTTGGCTACGTGCGTTGCAAACGAAGTTCAACGTGCATACATTCACGCTTAAATAGCTCCACCAAAAATGCCGGAGCAAATGCTCGTTCTGCCAGTACTCCGACTGCTTCGAATGGTGGAAAGCAATTACCAGCTTCTTGGTTTCAGTTACAAGCAGCCAAGTTGCGTGAAACAGCTCCGAGAGAATTGTCTACGTGCCACCGCTGATTTTGTTTTGTTAACGGAATCCAATCGCAAAACGTGCAAAATAACTTCCAGCGCCGTGAGAACACGAGGGGGTGTTGAATATAATGTTTGTAAATTGGTTCACACGCGCTCTCAATATTCAAATGCGCATATGCGCCGTCGTATCTAATGAATTGGGGCCGGTCATGGGTGAATTATGCAAATGTGAGCGAATGTTCAAGAGGGGGCGAGAAAAACTGAAGTCTGGCACCGATAATGTTGGCGTACACGCGGCTGCATGCAGATGTACAGACAGCACCTTTGGAAAAATCCACTGCTGGACGAAGGCGCCTCCCCCCAACGTGCATCGATCAAAAATCATGAAACACAAAACCCTCCAAGCTGAGGGGCGCGACCGGCTGCCAGTAAATAAATGAATAGTATCGACAGTCGTGACCGCGATCTCTCTGCCGAGATTCACATCGCGTCCTCTCGAGAACACTTATGTCAGAGACGCGGAGGAGGAGTAGGTGTAAGGAGCAGGGGGAAGAGGGTGGCGGTGGTGTACGGAGGATGATGAGGTGGGGGCGGATGAGGGTAGCGGTGTAACGAGCCGGCGAAGGGGTGGAGGAGGAATGAAGAGAAGGGGAGAGTGGCGGTGAAAGCAGCCGGAGAAGCAGGACGAGGAGAGAGGAGAGAGGTGCCGGTGTAAAGATGATGGCGGGAGAGGGAAGTAAAGCGTCCAGGCAATTTCCTGCTCTCGTGAACATCGAGAATGCCGTCTTCTCCCGAGTGCAGCCGTGAGCCAGTAAAGTTGGCTTCCTCGCAAAATGCTTCTCATCTGTTCGGCCCCCAGAGGGATGATGGACTGAGTCAACCCCCTCCGACCAGGATCTAAGCTCGCAGCCTTCCGATTGCTGCGAGCCGATAACTTCCACCGCTCAACCCACCTGGCCGATCGGAGAGGTCCGAATGGGGGGCCAGGAGGAGGAAGAGGCTGGTGTGGTGTAGGAGGAGGATAATGCTATGAAGAGGTATGAATGGGGGAATAAGAGATGATGATGATGATGAGGAGGGTTCTGGTATCGGTAGGCGATGTGAGATTAATGGGGAGCGGTGGTGCAGCGGTTAGCGCTACGCTGCGCTACGAGCCCGGCGACCCGAGTTCGATTCTTGCTCACGGTCAACACCAGTGACGATTATCTCAGCCGGTCCTGGGGCTCCCCTAGGTCGACTCAGCCTCAAATGAGCACCCAGTGCGGTGTGTAAACATAACCACTCGGGAAAAAAACGCCGGTCGAGCGTGGTGCTCACCACCAACCCCTCGTGTGCCACAGTGCCGGCCTTCATGGGTGCTACTCGCTAACGGCACTTGCCCCTACAGAATGCTCAGGCTATACGGGGGAACTTTGTCTTGGGGTGTGGGGGGGGGGTTGACTGGAGGGTGACGTCAGTGGGCGAGAGCACGCGGTTGTCGAAGGCAGAGGGAGTGCGGGGGCGTGTGGTCAATGGACGGTGGTGGATGTGGGGGAGGGGCACTCAGCGCTGTGTGTGGGGGGTGGGGGGGGTGGTGGGGCAAGTGCCTCGGTAATTGACGAGACCGATTGACGAACTCGCCGCCTGAGAAGAAGCCACGGCTAATTAATTGCGCGGAAATTTATGGGAGGGCGAAATCGCTTCTCCTCTCTTCTTCTCCTCCTCCTCGCCGCTCGGAGCTCCGCGCGTCACCAGCAGAGCCCCCCTCGATTCCTGGGCTCGGAGCACGGGGGGGGGGGGGACTCCCTCTCTCTCTCTCTCCACAACTCTCCCTCCCACGTTCGCTCTCTCGCTCTCTCTCTCTCTCTCTCCCTCCCCACTGTCTCGCTGTAGCTGACGTTGGTGGTAGTTGTTGTTTTTATTGGCGGTATTGTTAAGGGGTAATGATGGATCAGTTGATGATGATTTTCTTGTGTTTGAAGATAATGACGTCGATGTTCGTGCTGTTGCTCAGATTATTGTTGTTGTGGATGTTATTTGTTGTTGTTGTTGTTGCAGCTACGCCCTGACTGTGCAGGAGTCGTACGCACACCCCTATGATCAAGTCTACTACACGCGCTGCACAGACATCCTCAACTGGTTCAAGTGCACGCGACACAGGTGTGTGTGCCCACGTGACCTCGTGAGGGGTGGGGGCTGGTGGGCTTGCTCCTCCCCCATTTAACGTCGGTGTGCCCCCCCCCGCCCTGTTCCAACCCCCCACAGCTACCCGTCCATATAAAATACAGTCTATGCATCAAGATCTATATCTCCCCCATATATAGCCTTGAACAGACTGTTGGGGCAAGTGCTGTGAGCGTGCACCTATGAAGGCCCGCACGCCACACCAGGGGGTGGGTAGCCTTCGTCTCCCCAATGTGTATGTTTCAAACACCGCACCAGGTATTCGTTTAAGGCTGAGTCGACCTAATGGAGGCCCAGGACGCGTTAAAATACTCGCGATTGTTGTTGGTCGCGAGCCTGCATTGAACTCGGGCCGCCGGGCTCGTAGCGCAGTGACACAACCACTACACGCCATCGCTCCCTATTCTCTATCTCACACACAAACAAAATAAAACACTCCAACACACACACACACACCTCTGTCTGTCACACGCACGCAAGCATGCTCCACACATTCACAATCGATGGAACAACACGGGTGATTGGGTGGCGGTGGTGGAGGTGGTGGTGGGGAGAGTCGTTGATGCTGTAGGAGTCGATGCTGTGTCTCGTGCCGCTTTCATGAGTGCTCACAATGGGCATTGATTATCGCGCAATTGCGGGGCCAAATTAGCGCCTCTCCCGAGCGCGGAGCGCCACCACATTCATTACATTTACAGCCTCCGTTGTTAAACCACGCTTCGCGAGCCATAACGAGCCCACGCCTTTGCAGTCGAGGGGGTTGGCGGACCGCTCAGGGATTTACATAATTGTCATCTTCAATATATAATATTCGTTAAAATATATATATACAGGCTTTGCACTTTCCCACAAGAATGCGGGTATTGAGATGGTCAAAAGGGTCTCGTAGGTATTTTATATTATTTTGTTGTTCCCCAACCAGGCGACTGCCCATTCATGTGCTACGTTAATATATACATTATTATTATTATTATAAATTACATTTTATCAATAATACTTTTTTTACCCATGTACTATTAGCATCGTCCGAGATTACGATCGTGGTGTAGATGGAGCGATGAAATTAGTTTGTGTACAGGTGCTGGGCGGATCGATTGTTGTTGCATCGCAATGATCATGATTTGTGGTGGCGGCTTGGGAAGGGAGGCCTTCATCCAGCAGTGGATCGACCGTGGCTGAACGCAGCGATGATGATGACGACGATGTAAAGATCCGCTCGTCCGGCGTTTGAACTTGAGGCTTTGGCGAGTTGAGGCTCCGCTTTACTAACGCCACATTCAAATTCCTGCAATGAACGAAAATCATCGGAATTCAGCCTCCTGGCTTGACATGAGAAGGAAAGTTTGGACGACTTTGTTTGATCCCCGTGAAATGTAAATGCTTTTAAATTACACCCAGTGCCACCGATAATTTTTAAAAAAATTGGAATTGTAGATTCGCGTTTAATTTTATCGTCTATGTATTATTGGTTGTGGGGGTGTTTGGTTTTGTTACGAGGTAGCTGATTCCGGGTCCATTGTGCATGCGATGATATGTGGCTTTCCCGCACTCACTCCACTGCTGTGGAGGTAGAAGCGGGGGTTTGTCGATCACACACGGTTGTTGTGAAACTGCCGAAGAGGCGCCAGGAGAAGTAGGCACAGCAAATTGACGCGCCGCCTTTTTCTTTCCATCTCTACGGGGATAGTGGGTTGCCCCCTCGCGCGTAGGTTTTCTCCCGGTGACTTTCCTAGATGAATGAGTAGTTGTGAATGTACCGAGTGAATGTCAGGTCCCCTTTGAAACCAAACGCACGCAACGCAGAACAATCTTTGAGCGTCGCTGCGCAGATGTTAATGAGTAAAATAACTCCTCCTGCCCGCATTCGTCACTCCACATAGAACATCAACATTCGTCGGGAGGGCATCTTCAATCTTCATCAGCAGCATTGGTTTCGTAAAAGCAAACTCTGCGCCGGTTCGACATTCAGTGTCTCTTCAGCAGCAGAGTCGTGCTTTGCTTGAGTCAATGCTGGTGAACTGCCCAGATGTTCATAGGCAAGGGCCCTCTCTGTTAGGTGTGGCTCCTAGTTCGACGCACGATTAAACAGCACGTGACGCAGAATAATCATAAAGGGTCATTGTAGAGAATACTACGAATAGAATAAATAATGTTCCTTTACCGTATTTGTCTCCACAGATATCGCGTAAAAAACGTTTAGTCTCAATGGGTTTGTGGCCTGGGTTGCATAACGTTGATGGTGTTTTTCACGATGGTGACACCATCAATGTGTTTGTGACCTGTGTTGAATAACGTTGATGGTGATGTCCATGTTGGTGACACCATCGTCTGTGCTCAAATTCACAAGCTCCCGTGGACTGCGAGGCCCTAGCCAGGTGATGGCAGGGCACCCCAAGTGAGTGGAGGGGGTTCTGACCGCTGTGTGTGGATTTTGGAACGGCGATATCTCCACGCTTGAGTGGGGGTTTCTGCCACTTCTCAGGATGTTTCCTGCGCTCATCCACGCGGTCCGAGCTCGCTTGGGAATTGCAGCGAAGAGGGGTGGCGAGGGGGGGCTGATCGGTGTCGTCTGCGGGGGTCATCTGCTCAGTGGACCGCCCCTCTGTTCTGAGCGGCTGCGCGCGGGTTCTGAGCGACCTCCCCTAGGTCGGCTCAGCCTTAAATTAGTACCTGGTGGGGTGTGTAAAACATCGCCACAGGGAAGACAAAGGCGGCCTGGCGTGGTGCTGGCCACCCACCCCCTCGTGTGCCGTTGCGGCCTTCATAGGTGCTCGCTAACAGCACTTGCCTCCAACAATCTGTTAAGCCTACACGGGGGATCTTTGTCCTTGTGTGTATGTGTCCGCGTGTGTGCGTGCCTTTGTAGACACACCTCCGTGTGTCTGCGTGCCCTCCTGCCTGTATGGGGGGGGGGGGGGGGGGGCAGCCACGTGGTGACACTCGCCAATCGCGCCCTTCACAGCTCCTGCTGCCCATGCTCTGCGCGCCCGTGGCTCGCGTGTGTCCCTGCGCGTGTGGGGAGCGGTGGCGCAGCGGTTAGCGCTACGCTGCGCTACGAACTCGGCGAGCCGATTTAGATTCCTGTTCAAGGCCACCAGCACCAGTAACGAGTATCTGAACAGGTCCTGGGCCTCTCCTAGGTCGACTCAGCCTCAAATTAGGACCTGATGCGGTGTGTAAACATCACCAACAGGGAGACAAAGGCGACCGGGCGTGGTTGTGAGTCGCTCTGATGCGGAGAGTTCTGCCGTGAGCTGTAGTTTCTGTGTGTGTTCATTCGCATGTGTGTGTGTGTGTTCTAACACTATGTGGGCTGCACTGTCGATGTGTGTATTGTGTTGCGTAACCACGTTTCAGCAGCAGTGGTGGCAGTGCCTTTAGATCGAGTGGCTGGCGTGGGGAGACAAAGGCGGGCGGGACGGTGCTTGCTACACCACCTCCCCGTGTGTGGGCTGAAATTTAAATCGGGGCTACATTAACAGCACTCGGACAAACATTGTATGACCACTTGAGTCATCCTTGACTTTGTGTGTGTGTACGTGTGTGTGTGTGCGTGTGTGTGTGTACGTGTGTGTACGTGTACGTGTGTGTGTGTACGTGTGTGTGTGTACGTGTGTGTGCGCGTGTGTACGTGTGTGTACGTGTGTGTGTACGTGTGTGTGTGTGTACGTGTGTGTGCGTGTGTGTACGTGTGTGTACGTGTGTGTACGTGTGTGTATGTGTACGTGTGTGTGTGTACGTGTGTGTATCCGTGCGTTTGCTGTGACAGGGTCAGCTACCGCACCGCGTACCGGCGCGGAGTCCGCACCATGTACCGCAGGCGCGCGCAGTGCTGCCCCGGACACTACGAGAGCGCCGACGGATGCGTCCGTAAGGCTCAGCAAGGACACACGACAGCACACTCGCACTAAAGACAAAGCTCACCCCGTGTAGCCATAGCTGGCTGCTGTTGGGGCAAGTGCTGTTAGCGAGCAAACTATGAAAGCCGGCACGGCAAACTAGGGGGTGGGTGACCAGCACCACGGACGGCCGCCTTTGTCTCCCTAGTCGCGATGATTCCACTCCGCACTGGGTATTCATTTGAGGCCGAGTCGACCTAGGAGAGGCCCAGGACCGCTTCAGGTTACCGTCACAGGTGTTGGCCGTGAGCGGGAATCGAACCCGGGTCGCCGGGCTCGTCGCGCAGCGTAGCGCCAAGCACTGCGCCACCGCTCCCCACACACGGTCACAACACAGTCACACACGAGCCACTTGTGCATTGGGCCGCCCCGAACAGGTGCTCGCTAACAGGAGGAGGTATTGCTAGTTGACGCGGGCTAAGTGGGCGTCGTGGGGGGTGATGTATTTGCACATTTTGCTCAATTACTCTCGGCCGGGCTCTCTCACTCCCTCTCTCTCCCTCTCTCTGGCGACTGCGTTTTGCTTGCTGGTATGCGAGTGACTCACCGTGCCGCCGATGGGGACAATACCAAACACATGCAATCAGCGCGCTGATGCTCATGACGGAGTCAACTTGAAACATTATTGTCTCGGGGGGGGGGGGGGGGGGAAACCAGGCACCCTCATTGTCATCATCGTCATCATGGATCTCGATGATTGTTCATATCGTCAGCAACTCATTAGCACGAGCCATTGTAATGTGAGCGATTCGAGTGTCACTTTGATCATTATATTCATATCAATAATACAATGCCATTGACACCGTGATCATCCGCATCATCAACAACTCATCAGCATCAGTCGTTTTAATATCAGGAGCGTGATCAGCGGTGTCAGCATCAAACGCACACACGCACACACGCACATACACCATGATCAACGCTTCACGCGCACAGTTAACACGCGACCATATATGACCGCAAATGAGCAATGTCGTAACTTTATATGACGTTTTGGGTCATGACCCTCCTCCATCATAGCAGAGGGATCAATGACCAACATCGAGGCATGGTGAAGATAGAAACAAACGTGACCCCTCCTCCTCCTCGTCATCTCCACACCCCCACGTGCGCCGCCTTTGTCTCCCAGCAATGTTGCCGCTGCTGCTTGGTGTAGTGGTGGACGCGCCTCGTCTCCCATTGTTCACGGGTGCCGATGCGGGGGACTCAGGTTGCGAGCCCGGCGATTCACTGCTCAACCCAGAACCTCGGGGCATCCCGAGACACTAAGCATTGTCTGTTGCCAAGGAAACCAACAGAGCGGTGATGGTGGTGATGGGGTGTGATATTTGGGTAGGGGATGTTGTTTATTTGTGTGGTGGTGGCCAGCTGAAGCAGAAGGTTGCTTTTGTTTGGAGCGGTGGGGGGCGAGGGGTTTGTGGAGTCGGTGGTGGCGTAGGGGGTAGAGTAGGGGGGGAATGGCAGAATCGTCGGGGGGGGGGGGGTTAGTCGGCTTTGTTTTCTGTCGCGAGTCGAGGCTGCTGCTGCTGCTGCTCGTGAGAGTTCATCTCGGGAAGCGTTTCAGAAGGCGCGGGGCTCATTTGCCTCATCGTGTGACGCGAAGGCGCGCGTGTTAGGGTGCGTGTGTGTCGGTGTGTATGTTAGAGTGTGTGTGTGTGGTGGGGAGCGATAGTGTAGCGGTTAGCGCGCTGCGCTATGAACCTGGCGAGCCGGGTTCGATTCCCGCTCACGTTCAACACCAGTGACGATTATCTGAACCGGTCCCGGGCCTCCCCTAGGTCGACTCAGCCTCAAATGAGTACCTGGTGCGGTGTGTAAACATTGCCACTAGGGAGACAAAGGCGGTCCGGCGTTGTGCTGGCCACCCACCCCCTCGTGTACCGTTCCGGCCTTCATAGGTGCTCGCTAACAGCACTTCCCCCTACAGTCTGTTAAGGCTATATGGGGGATCTTTGTGTGTCAGGATATGAGTGTTAGGATGCGTGTGTGTCGGTGTGTATGTTAGAGTGTGTGTGTGTCCGGATGTGGCCTTAACGTGCACATAGCCTGGCACGAGCGCCGTGGTGACGAGCGCCGTGGTGACGCCATTCTTCACGGTCGTTGTCGTGTGCGGAGCGGTGGCGTCGTGATTGTCGCGCTGCGCTACGAACCCCGCCACCCGAGTTTAATTCCCGCTCACGGCCACCCAACACCGCTGATGAATAACTGGGCCTCCCCTAGGTCGACTCGGTCTCAAAATGAGCACCGCGATCATCCACTCGTCACAGGACATATGCCCGCGGGTCTCCGCGACGCACCACGCATTGCGAGCGGTGTGGAACCCGTGACTGGATGAATCGCGATTTAACTGAATGCGGAGCATCTCGGCACGCGAGTGCCGCCCCCTCCCTCCCCCAGTGACCACGCGCAGAGTCCCTCGCAAGGTCAGCAACCCGTGGCAGCTCCCGGCGTGGTAATGACCGCTGTAATTACAATAATAATGAGTCCGTGTGGAGAGCGTTAATATTGAGAGACGCGACTGAAGTAGGGATCAGAGTGGGTTTGGGCTGGTGGGCGATGGTGCGAGGAGAGCGAGGGAGTGAGGGAACAGGGGGGGGGGGGGGGGGTGAAGCTGCCCTTACGTTGCCACAACCGCAGAACCAAACACTCCCGAGTTTGAGTCCTCGTCGCGGGGTTTGAGTCGGGTGCCGCAGCATATGACAGGCAGAGTGACTGTCATGTGCCCAATCTCATAGCAGTGTGTGGGTAAGTGCGCCCCGTAATGTGTCAATCGTGAAGGGTTGTCTGAATTTTTATTTTATTGGGGGGGGGGGGGGGGGGGGGGTGGGGACATTTCTGAGAAGAATCTCTGCCGCAGTCGATCTCTGACACGCGGAGTTCAAGGTTCAAGTCGATTTCGTGCAACGACGCGAGAACTTAGGAGAGTGAGGCAGGTTCTCGTTTGTGCACCAGTGACCTGGGTCACCAATGAAGCACAAAGCAAACGAAAACCAAATAAAATAAGGGACAGCATTGAGGCACGTGAGAAATCAGCACACACACACGAAACAAGCCCTTCGACATGAGAAATAGAACATACATCAACGTTAGATTAAAGATGAATGTTAAATTCCCTGCAGCGCGTATCGACTCGGGCAGATTCTTTTTAGACGGATCATAGCAGAATAGCGAGTTACAGAGACATTAAACATACGTAGGGTGACTATCGTACCAATATGTAAACAGATAAGAATGTCAAAAGCAATTGCAAGTGATCATTTGTCGTAATTATCCTCGACTTAATCACACTGGTCTACAATTTGTTTAGACGTTGTCTGCTTCAGAGATGAAATATGTGCTGTTCATTATGGATTTTGATGTGCTGAACTCAAATATGACAATTAAAACAACTGATTGGCTACTGTTCCCAGGATTTAGATTTTTTTAAACATTTTACGTCTATGTATATTGTGTAGATAGTCGAGTTTTACTCATAAATTGTAAACCGAGGTCTTTTCAGGTGTTTATGGTTGCTTTACATGATAACATGTTACCTGTCCTGTTCATGCAACACTTTAAAAGTCAGTAAAAGGGTTATGTGAGTAAAATGTATTATGAAACAAAAGGCAAAAAAACTATTATTTATCTTCTTTGGTTCTTTCGGTAAAGTCACGTAGAATGAGAATAAAATAATAAATTGATAAAATTAAATAACACAATAATAATATTATTATTTATATAAGTACACCGCGTAGTTTAGTTCTCATTCGGTGTCTACTCGGCGCTTCTTGGCTTGTTTCTTGTGTTCATTCAATTGAGCCATCTCTTGTCACTGTCCAGCCATAGTCTGCAAGCACTGATGGGCTCCATTAGCCCTGAGAGCGTTTCTCCATTGTTGCAATGTCCTGGGTGAAATCACTCGCTATGCTTGTCGCTCACTGCTCCGCAGTTCGGTGGGGAAAAAATCTAGATGACAGTACAAAAAATGCATCTTTAGTGACATGTTGCAACCGAGGCTTTGTGTATGTCGTTGTCTGTCTTGTTTGTTTCCGAGAAAATGCGTTGCCAACAGCTGGAAGTCTTTCCTTGCCACACAGTGCACTGTCAAATGTGTCGTGAGTTCAACTGAGTCGCAGACGTGATTCTTCAGAGGCAACACATTTATTGTAACACGTACATACAAAGGGGTAACTGCACCTTTACCAGATACAGCCTGGGGTGGTGACCACCCAGCCAACTACTCTATATTGAGGAGTTACAGCTACGAAGGGTCGGACCCTCACTCGGGTCCTCGGCCACGTGTTGATGCCTCGAAGGACGTAGAGCTTCCCGTTTGTAGACGTAGAGCTTCCAGCTTGTAGAACCAAGCGACCCCGGTCCCTCTCAGCGACCCACCTTATATCCTCCCGAGTCGGGACCGGCTCCGCCCTCGGCCCCGCCCGCCTTCTCGAGCATTCTAGCCCCCTCTCGATCCCCCTCGAGAGCTCTCCCCGGACACGTGATCACCTCCGAGCCCCCCCCCCCACTTGGGGCCTTCTCTGTGAACACTCCAGATCACGTGTCTACGGGGTCAACCAGAGTGCCATGGCCCGGGGTAACCCTGTCCCTGGGCTGACACTCTCCCGCTCCCCTTGCGTGGTGCCCGCGCTATCCCAGCGCTCACCAAGCGCCGCTAGGGCTGGTACTACACCCGCCTACGGGGTGTACGCGATGACGGTGCATCGCACACCGTGCTGTGCTAGAGCCGGCCCCACACAGCAACCCACCCGGTGCTGTCCGCGATGTAAGAACATCCCGGGCTGGCACCATACAGTGATGTCACTACAAATGCATCATCTCGAAGAAGTTCCCGAATCTGAGGACCAACAAAGACACCTTCCTTTATCTTAGCTTCACTTAACCTTGGAAAATTTCCACGGAGGTGCTTGAAAGCTGCTTGTGTTTTGTCCATGGCTTTGACAAAGGTCTTCATCAGACCCAGCTTGATGTGTAAGGGTGGTAACAAAATATTCCTTGATTCAACAAGTGGTGGATGCTGAACACTTTTCCTCCCAGGCTCCAATGACTGTCGGAGTGGACAATCTATATTGATGTAGTGGGAGTCTCTTGCACGACTATCCCATTCCAAGAGAAAACAGCAGCAGTACTCTGTGTATCCAGTCTGCAGACCAAGCAAGAGAGCAACAACCTTCAAGTCGCCACAAAGCTGCCACTGATGTTGGTCATAGTTTATGCACCTCAAAAGTTGTTTCATGTTACCATAGGTTTCCTTCATGTGGACTGCATGACCAAATGGAATTGATGGCAAAACATTGCTATTATGCAGCAATCAGCTTTAAGACTCATGTTCGATTAATCATTGAACAGTCTCCACTCATCTGGATCATGAACGATGTTGAGGGCTGCCATCATACCATCGATGTTGTTGCAGGCTACAAGATCGCCTTCCATAGTGAAGAATGGGACAAGATCCTTTTGACGGTCACGGAACATGGAAACCCTAACATCACCTGCCCAGAGATTCCACTGCTGCAGTCTGGAGCCCAACAGCTCTGCCTTAATCTTGGGTAGTTCCAAATCCCTGACAAGGTCTTTCAGTTCACCTTGTGTTATGAGGTGTGGTTCAGAGGAGGAAGATGGGACAAAATCTGGGTCATGTGACCTTGATGGTTCAGGACCAGAAGTTTCATCCTCTTCCTCATCTGACTCAATGAGAATGATTCTGGTGCATCAGGAACGGGCAGTCCTTCTCCGTGGGGTACTGGGCGTATAGCTGATGGAATGTTTGCATAATGCACAGTCCACTTTTTCTTCTTTGAGACACCTCTCCCAACCTGAGGCGCCTTGCAGAAGTAACAATTGCTGATATGATCTATTGGCTCTCTCCAAATTTTTGGCACTGCAAAAGGCATTGATTTCCTTTTCCTGTTCAACCACTGTCGAAGATTTGTTGCACAAGTGTTGCAGCATACAGTGAGGGAAAAAAGTATTTGATCCCTTGCTGATTTTGTACGTTTGCCCACTGACAAAGAAATTATGAGTCTATAATTTTAATGGTAGGTTTATTTGGACAGTGAGAGACAGAATAACAACAAAAAAATCCAGAAAAACGCATGTCAAAAATGTTCTTAATTGATTTGCATTTTAATGAGGGAAATAAGTATTTGACCCCTCTGCAAAACATGACTTAGTACTTGGTGGCAAAACCCTTGTTGGCAATCACAGAGGTCAGACGTTTCCTGTAGTTGGCCACCAGGTTTGCACACATCTCAGGAGGGATTTTGTCCCACTCCTCTTTGCAGATCTTCTCCAAGTCATTAAGGTTTCGAGGCTGACGTTTGGCAACTCGAACCTTCAGCTCCCTCCACAGATTTTCTATGGGATTAAGGTCTGGAGACTGGCTAGGACCTTAATGTGCTTCTTCTTGAGCCACTCCTTTGTTGCCTTGGCCGTGTGTTTTGGGTCATTGTCATGCTGGAATACCCATCCACGACCCATTTTCAATGCCCTGGTTGAGGGAAGGAAGTTCTCACCCAAGATTTGACGGTGCATGGCCCCGTCCATCGTCCCTTTGATGCAGTGAAGTTGTCCTGTCCCCTTAGCAGAAAAACACCCCCAAAGCATAATGTTTCCACCTCCATGTTTGACGGTGGGGATGGTGTTCTTGGGGTCATAGGCAGCATTCCTCCTCCTCCAAACACGGCGAGTTGAGTTGATGCAAAAGAGCTCCATTTTGGTCTCATCTGACCACAACACTTTCACCCAGTTGTCCTCTGAATCATTCAGATGTTCATTGGCAAACTTCAGACGGGCATGTATATGTGCTTTCTTGAGCAGGGGGACCCTGCGGGCGCTGCAGGATTTCAGTCCTTCACGGCGTAGTGTGTTACCAATTGTTTTCTTGGTGACTGTGGTCCCAGCTGCCTTGAGATCATTGACAAGATCCTCCCGTGTAGTTCTGGGCTGATTCCTCACCGTTCTCATGATCATTGCAACTCCACGAGGTGAGATCTTGCATGAAGCCCCAGGCCGATGGAGATTGACAGTTCTTTTGTGTTTCTTCCATTTGCGAATAATCGCAACAACTGTTGTCACCTTCTCACCAAGCTGCTTGGCAATGGTCTTGTAGCCCATTCCAGCCTTGTATAGGTCTACAATCTGGTCCCTGACATCCTTGGAGAGCTCTTTGGTCTTGGCCATGGTGGAGAGTTTGGAATCTGATTGATTGCTTCTGTGGACAGGTGTCTTTTATACAGGTAACAAGCTGAGATTAGGAGCACTCCCTTTAAGAGTGTGCTCCTAATCTCAGCTCGTTGCCTGTCTTTTATACAGGTAACAAGCTGAGATTAGGAGCACTCCCTTTAAGAGTGTGCTCCTAATCTCAGCTCGTTGCCTGTATAAAAGACCCCTGGGAGCCAGAAATCTTTCTGATTGAGAGGGGGTCAAATACTTATTTCCCTCATTAAAATGCAAATCAATTTATAACATTTTTGACATGCGTTTTTCTGGATTTTGTTGTTGTTATTCTGTCTCTCACAGATCAAATAAACCTACCATTAAAATTATAGACTGATCATTTATTTGTCAGTGGGCAAACGTACAAAATCAGCAGGGGATCAAATCCTTTTTTCCCTCACTGTATGTGTGGAGCCCACATTTTGTCCTGATCTCCAATTTTGCAGCCAAAATAAAAGGTGATAGGCTTTCTTAACCATAGTGGTTATACTGCACTTTTGTGATGCAAAAGTCACTTCACCACAAACATAGCAAAAGTTAACTGCTTTGTTCACACAAGTAGAAGGCATCTCTGCTCACTTTGGCTCTACAGAAATGTGTCCCTTTGCAAAATCAAACACTGACAAATAAGAGAGCACGACACTATGATTTCTAGAGATGATTTAGGGCAATTTGTTCAGCAAAGGGATGTACGCCTAGTTATGATTGCATCATCCATGTACTCTAGGAATAGCATGATGCAATTCATATCATGTATGACGCAATACCAGGTTCAGATGACATCATTCATTGTTTTGCTCAAAAAACAAAGACTGTCCAAACCAGTCATAGATTTATTCATTGATCCAGTCAAAGATGTATTTTGGTCATTTCTAGTTTATATTGAGATCCCTTCCCTTTATAACTCACTTATCCTCCGCCATTCCCAAGTTAAGGGTCGTAGATATGTTACTGGGTCGTATTTACTGACCCAGTAAAATATATTTAAAACTAAAGCCAATCATTCAGTGACCCAGAATGAGTAAAGTTGGACGACATTTATTTCGGAAGCATTTTGGCTGTAGAGCAGTGTTATCAGTCATCGTCACAGTAATGATTGTAATCATCGTCTTCATCATCTTCATAATCCTGACGATTGTCATCATGGCCAATCATCATAATCCTGATAACCATTGTCATAATAAGCATCGTGATGGTCTTCATTATTATACAACGATATATGTCAAATGCGCAGCCATACGGGACTACTCACGGTAATATTTCCGACAAGATTCGCCGTCTCGTGACATGGTGCCTTAGAGCACAATGGGAACGAATTGGAGAAAATACCAAGCGAATCTAGACAAATACCACTTCCTTCCCACCTACCATACCTACCCTACCAATCCTACCTGCCATGCCTACCCTGCCTACCTGCCGCCTGTCAGCAGGGCTAAAGACAGCGGCTCGCGCTTAGTAGTGGCGGTAGGATGGCTGTGCGTTTGCAGGGTCGTCTTTCAAGGTCACGCGTGGCCGCTGAGGCCGCAGAGGTCGTCCTTGACCCTGGGCCACGTCCATGGAACGTTACCTACCTGGCATAGATGGAAAGAGAAACTTGGATATTTAGTTTGCAAAAAAAAATTACGACTGTTAAACATTTTGTAATGAACGATCCAGCAGCCTCGTGCATGCGCTGCGTGTACGCGTTGCGTGTAGGCACGAGACAAGCGATTGTTGTTGTTGTGTTGCCTCTCCGCGTGATGAAAAAAGGGTTGTGCGTTCTGCCCCCCTCCCCCCGCACACTCCACATCACCAACACGGCAACCCCCCAAACAAACAACATCACTTACTTACACTTTCAACGCCTTCACACACACACCTCACTCTGCACAACTGCCACACATTCTGACACGCACCCTCACGCCTTGCCACATACACTCCACCCACCCTCCTCCCCCGCGTTCACCCCCCCCCCCGCCTCCCCCGCGTTCACTCTCCCACTGACTCCCCCTGCCCCCCCCCCTCCCACCGCAGCGCTGTGCCGAGGAGAGTGCGTGCACGGGAAGTGCGTGGCACCGGACTCGTGTCTGTGCGAGCCCGGCTGGGGAGGAGGCGACTGCTCCAGCGGTGCGTGCTGAACTTGCACGCACACACGGCCGCCTTTGTCTCCCCAGTGCTGATCGTCTTAAACACCGGTACTGTAGTCACGTTAAGGCTGAGTCGACCTAGGGGGGAGGCAAAGGACCCGGGGTTTGAAACCACTCCGCAGTGCACGGTGTAAGCCGTGGCCGCGAATCGAACTCGGCTGTGCGGATCCGCCAGGGCGGTTCACCACCTCGACCCTCCGCAGAGACACAGACGCAGAGACACCTCCACAGAGACACCGACGCAGAGACACCGACGCAGAGGCACCGACGCAGAGACACCTCCACAGAGACACCGACGCAGAGACACCTCCACAGAGACACCTCCGCAGAGACACCGACGCAGAGACACAGACGCAGAGACACCGACGCAGAGGCACCGACGCAGAGACACAGACGCAGAGGCACCGACGCAGAGACACCGACGCAGAGACACAGACGGAGAGACACCGACGCAGAGACACCGACGCAGAGACAGACGCAGAGACACCGACGCAGAGACACCGACGCAGAGACACAGACGGAGAGACACCGACGCAGAGACACCGACGCAGAGACACCGACGCAGAGACACAGACGCAGAGACAGACGCAGAGACACCGACGCAGAGACACCGACGCAGAGACACCGACGCAGAGACACAGACGCAGAGACACCGACGCAGAGACACCGACGCATTAGCTAGGAGCAGGGGAAGGAAGGGAGGAGAGAGGGGGTCTCTGTGTGAGAGGATAGAGGGATCATGCCTGAATATAGTCCGCCAGAGATCTCCCCCACGCCCCCCATCTAACCTCCTCTCCTCCCCACCCCTTTCACCCCCCCCCACCCCCTCTTTACCCACCCCCTCTCCTCCCTCCCAACGTTGATCCCACCTAAAGCGATTGTCAAAGGAAGATGTAAAATAAATAATAGTGCCGGGTAATTTATAGGCTCAGTGGGCTGTCGCTACAAAGCGATCCGATGCTGAGACTGCCTCGAGAAGGAAGAGCCCTCTCGCTGGATCCCAGTGGATAAACTAGAGGCACATCGCCTTTAACCAGAATAACAACAACAACAAGATGCAAAACCATACTCTTAAGTGAGCCTCCATTTTTGCCAAGGGCTTGGACTGCACAAAGAACTGAAACCCGCAGACGCCCGCCATGAAGCTGGGTCCATTATTCTGCGATCCGGTTGCACGCATTGGTTGCATGCACCTGAATCGCTTATGCGTGGACGTTTATTGCAACCAGTTACGAGGAGTTGCGCAATCAGTTGCTGCTTACGGTAGAGACAACAGACTCGACTTTCAATAGTTGATCTGCTCGACGATTTGTAGCGGCGGCCTTCGTGGCCACGTGCTTGCACGTTTGCGCAACTGTGATTGGCCGTCACAATTCTGAATGCAGCATTGCATTTCCACTTTGTTCGCTACGATGTGGACAAAGCATTTGCAGGCGAGTGAGTTGCATGCGCGCGATGATTTCGAGAGCGATTTGGTTGCTCCGCCGATTGCTCAGGTTCTTCTTGCCGCCGACGTCATCATGCATGTACCTAACCTGGCACGCAGGGACCACGCGAGTGCTCACGTGTCGCTCTTAGTAGCGCCACCGCATGATCGAATGTAGCAGCGAGGGGTGGTGGTGGTATCTGGTGGTGGTGTCTGGTGGTGGTAGTAGCGAGTTGTGGTGGTGGTGGAGTGGTGGTGGTGTCTGGTGGTGGTACAGATATAATGGGAGGCTAATCGATGCCCGGGTGCGGTCAAGGGATGGCTCCCTATTGCTCAACCACGTTACGTATGCTGATGATTTGGTAATAGCTGCTCAGTCAGAGGAGGAGTTGGAGACGCTGCTGCTGAGACTGGAGCGTGCCACTAAGAGGTGGGGCCTTACCATCAGCACCACCAAAACTAAGCACCTGCCTGGGTATTTTGTACCATCGGACACTCCACCCCCACAACTCCCAATCGGTGATGGGGCAGTTGTGGAGGGAGTGGAGAGTTTCCCATACCTGGGCAGTGTGCTTATGACTGACTCCAGTTTAACAGCAGAGGTCTCACTCCGAATCAGTCGAGGGGCAATATCTTTTCATCGGTTGCGTAACGCTGTGTGGAAGCTACCTGGTCTGTCGCTCCGCACTAAGCTTCAGGTCTTCTCGGCCACGGTCATTCCCTCCCTTCTCTACGCTTGCGAAACGTGGACCCCCCTAATGGAACATCTTCGCCGGTTAGAAACATTTAGGCTGGCCTGCCTACGATCCATCCTGGGTTTAACCAGACTGGATTGTGTGAGGAGCTCACAAATCCTTGAAAGATCTGGGCAGGGTCCCATCGGTGAGCTCCTCCGGCAGGCAAGGCTGCGATGACTGGGTCATGTAGCCCGCATGCACAGCCACCGCATGCCGAAACAACTTTTGTTTGGCCGGATTGAGGGGGCCAAGCGGGCGCGGCACGGGCTAGAGAAGAGATGGAGTGATGTGGTACAGGAGGACGTGGAGCTGAGTGGACTTGCCGATGACTGGTACCAGCGGTGTCAAGATCGGCCTCTGTGGAGGAGGCTCGTGAAGGATGCTACTGGGCAGTTGGAGGCAGTCGCCCTCCAACAACAGCGGAGGGCGGAGGAGCGACGCTCAGAACAACGAGCGGAGCGCCGGGTGGCTAAAGCACAGCAGGTTGGCACAGTAGGGGGCACAGGTGGTGCATCAGCCAGTCATCTCAGTCAGTTGACCCGTGGCACCTGGGTCTGCCCCGTGACCTCCTGCCAGCGGGCGTTCGACACTTCACGTGGCCTCAGGGTGCACATAGCCTGGCACAAGCGTCGTGGTGACGTCACCGCCACTTAGTGGCGAATGGCGGTTGTTGTTGTTGTGTCTGGTGGTGGTAGCAGCGAGTTGTGGTGGTGGTGTCTGGTGGTGGTAGTAGCGAGTTGTGGTGGTGGTGGTGGAGTGGTGGTGGTGTCTTGTGGTGGTAGCAGCGAGGGGTGGTGGTGTTTGTTGTCGTGGTGGAAGCAGCGAGTTGTGGTGGTGGTGTTTGTTGTTGTGGTGGAAGCATCAACGGCTTTGGCCACAATGACGTCTTGATCCTGATCGGCATTGACATGTTTCGGCAATTTAATATTAATGCATTAATACGAGAATTAATAATTAACTTCACATTATATTGCGAGGTTATTCATTCAGGAAAGCATCACTGATTGTTTGACGGTGGTGATGGTGTTGATAGTGATTATAATGAAGTTGTGGATGACGACGATGATGGCAGAAACGGTGGTGATGATGATGATATCGATTATGGTGACGAAGGGTAATATGTTGATGGCGACGATGATGATGGGGATCATGTTTGGTGATGAAGGATGGCGATGATGATGATGATCATGTTTGGTGATGAAGGATGGTGATGATGATGGGGATCATGTTTGGTGATGAAGGATGATGATGATGGGGATCATGTTGGGTGATGAAGGATGATGATGATGGACTGAGTCGATCCCCGACTGAGATATGACCTCATGACCCCGCAGACTGTGAGCCGGTGTCCCCCGTGCGGAATAATCGCGAGCCTCTCGCCGCCGTTTACCGCGACGTGACGGGCACGTGATGAGCTCGCCTCCCCGTGTCCCTGATTCCCCCCCCCCCCCTCCACCATCACCCCCACCTCCTCTCCTTCACAGCCCCCCACTTGAGGCTTCTCCAACGCCGCCGCCACCCACCTTGACCCCCCTTTCGACCCCCATTTCAAAGAACCGCCCCCCCTCTCCCTCATTCCCCCACCTCCTGCCCCCCCCCCGCTGCCTAAAACTCACCTTGACCCCCATTCCACAGAACCATCTCCCTCCCCCACTTCTTCCCTCCCTCCCCCCATCCGCACTTAGTTTTTGGACATACGGTACGTGCATGCATAGAGACAAAGATAAAGATCCCCCATATAGCCTCAGCAGACTGTTAGGGCAAGTGCTGTTAGCGAGCAGCACCTATGAAGGCCGGCTCGGCACACGACGGGGGTGGGTGGCCGTCACCACGCCCGGGCCGCCTTTGTCTCCCCAGTGGCGATGTTCACGCAACCGCATCGACGACTCATTTGAGGCTGAGTTGACCTAGCGGAGGCCCAGGACCGGTTCAGATAATCGTCGCTGGTGTTGGCTGTGAGCCGGATCACGCCCTGCTCCCCCTCCCCCCCCCAGGCTGCGCCAGCGACCGCTGGGGTCCACACTGCAGCCACCGCTGTCAGTGTCTGAACGGGGCTCGGTGTAACCCCTTGACGGGGGTCTGCGACTGCGCCCCGGGGTTCCGGGGAGCCCAGTGCGGGGAGCCGTGCCCCCCCGGGACGTACGGACCGGGCTGCCTCGCGCCGTGTCGCTGTCACAACGGGGCCACGTGCCACCCCGCCACGGGCCAGTGCGTGTGCCAGCCGGGGTTCACCGCGCCGCTGTGAGGAATCGTCGCTTACAATTGAATCGACGGTGGAACATGAATCGATCGTTCGTTCGTTCGTTTATTTGTATGTTTTGCCGTCTGTTCTTCGTACGGTTGCTTTTCCCAATTGTGCCATCGTGTTCATCATCCCATCGGTGGATTAAGAACGGCTATGGTTTACCATCGTCGTCGTCATTCTTTTGAGATGCCATCTGAGTGGCCACTTTGTGATGCCATCTTTATGATGCCGTCTTTATGATGCCATCTGAGATGCCATCCGAGGGACCACGTTATGATGCCATCACATTCAAGAACAATCAAGAGGTGATTTGTTCTTGACACCTGATGAAGATCGCTTGCGTTGTGATCGAAACGTCGTGATTGTTTTTTTGTTTTAATATAATTTTATTGTATTTCTACATACGTGACTTTACCGAAAAAAACAATGAGTAACGAATTAACTCTATCCACGCTGCACGCACCCCATGATTGTTAAACACAGCCCGCGTTACGCGCAATGCCATTCACGTTGTCTGCGTCACGCGGAACACGTGAACGCGCGCGCGCACACTGAAATATCAGTATTGGTTTGAATTGGCTCTATGAACGTAGACATGGTTGTTTAGGAGCGGAGTTTTGGAATCGCTGGGTCAGGTCTATGTCGCTATGGATGCCGTGACGGCAGGAATTGCGGCTGGGTCGTCACGCGACCCTTTTCTCTGCCTCTCTCTGCCTCTCTCGCTGCTGTCAGATCCTTGCTCTCATCGTCGATAGCCCGCGACGGGACGTGGAGGGGGGGGGGGGCGCTTTAAGCCTCGCGGCGTTTCCTTTCTCTTGGGAGCGGGTGGGAGATCCCCCGCGAGCATGAGGCGGATGGGTGGGCGTTGATCCGATATCAAATTGGAGCGGGGCGCTTTGAAGGATTCAAAGAAAGCTCCACTCCGCCACCAGAGCCGTCCCTGGGGTACGACGAATCGGGGAGATTGCCCCGGGCCCCACGCTTAGGGGGGGGGGGCGTTTGGACGGCACGTCAGATATAATACTTCCGGTGTGAATTGCCCCGGGCCATGCATCCCCCCTATGGACCTCCCAGCCTGCCACCCCCAGGCGATAGCGCGGCGCCCCGAGGCGAGCGTGATTGGTTGAATGCCTTCCACGTAGAGACGTAAATCACGGCCACCATCATCATCTGGTCGCCGGTTCGATTTCCCGGCGCGGCAGTTGAAACGGTGGGCAAGTTTATTCAATCCCCTGCCCTCCACCCTCTCCCCGCTACTACCCCACCACAGTTCGTCCATGGGCAGGGTCGTGCGTGGTGGGTAAAAGTGTAGGTACACCGACCCCTATAACATTACAAAATTACCCGCAAATTACTCAAATGGGATGATACTCATACACAGCAGCAGCAGCAATGATCGCCCACCTACTGACAGACGAATGCCCAAGGTCACGCTTGCAAATGAGACTCCCTTGGACCGTAGAGTAAACCCACTGTAGTAGTCTGTGAACTTTCAACGGAGGAGGAGGAAAATCAAAAGGACACGAACTCTCTCTCTCTCTCTCTGCTGAAGCCCTCTCCTCGTGGTCAGCAGCAGCATCAGCAGCAGGACCTCGACATTGGCATCGGCATCTTGAACCAAGTTGCTGGCATCATACGCGAGAATAGAACCTCACCTCCCCATTCCTCACATCATGTCCCCCCCTCCACCTCTCCCTCAACTCTCTCTGCCCCCCCACCTCCCCGTGGCTGGCCCGTGGCGCGTGCAGCTGCGACGAGCGATGCGCAGGGGGCGTCTGCGTTGAGGAGGCGAGGTGCCCGTGCCAGAACGGAGGCTCGTGCCCTCAGGGCACGGCAGGACCGTGCGTCTGTGCGCGGGGGTGGACGGTGAGGACGTCCCCGTAGCTCGTTCACATCCTCCACGGGACAGCAGCAGCAACATCATCATCGTCACCCATCATTCATACGGCACCAGCAACCACCATCATCATCATAGCCACCCATCACTCATACGGCACCAGCGGCCAACATCATCATCATCATAGGCACCCATCACTCATACGGCACCAGCGGCCAACATCATCATCATCATAGGCACCCATTACTCATACGGCACCAGCAGTTGCCATCATCGTCGTCGCCATCATTACGAACTCGATACGTCTACCAGATATCACCCCTCACTCTAGATACTCACTGGATATGAGGGTAATCGTGACACCTTCACTCAATATCGCCATCACCGCGAGACCTCCACCGGATACATCCACCCACACCGTCATCTCTACAATACACCAGACTTACAAATCAACTCCATCAGATCTCGTCATCACCATCCATCGCCATCTCTATGTCAGCTCTGTACGTCAACCAAACATCATCATCATCATCATCATCATTTCTACGCTACCACCAGAAGTCATAATCTCCACACCTTCATTATAGATTGGACCATGATATCGACAGCTCCACCATATATCATCATCGAGCATCTCGATATCATCTGTATATGTCTACCAGACATCATCACCACCATTTACACACCTCGACCATCTCTACACTTCGCGTGTCACCTCGATTCCATCCGCGTGTCGAATTTGCAGCAACAAGGCAGTCGTCACAGACACTCGTGGTTTTGTCAATGACACTGGCGAAAAAGATCCAACCCCCAACACCATAACCAGCTTTTCTCTTGTAGCGACGCAGGCAGGAGCTTCTTTTGAAAACTAATTTCTTTAGAACCGCATTTTGTGTTCAGTGTCGTGTCCTCTGACTAGCGCGGCTAGCTACGTACGGTGTGAAAGAAGTTCAACGTACATCCATGAACATGAGCTTGAGTGCCTGTTAATGATAACAACTACATATTTTAGCGTTACGGTCAGGAACCCAGTTGTATCAATATCGTGAGCCATTCCATGCAACTCTTTGCCGAATACCATCATCATCATCAGCCGCAGCAGATGCGGTCCTGTTCAATCCACTGCTGGATGAAGGTAACATCCTAGCCGCTGCCACCTCTGCCGATCATGCGACGCAGCAAACACAGCCAGCAGCTGCATCCCCACGTGGCGTCTGCTGCCCACCCCCACACACAGCGGCCACGATCTCATTTCGGTACAAGCGCCTTCTTCCCTGTGTCTCTCTCCCTCTGTACCCGCAGCCTCTCGCTCCATGCTCCGCTGGGGAGAATGATGAAAATATCCTTCCCCGCCGCGGGAAAGAGTCAAGCAAAAACGTTTACTCTTTAAAATAAGAGGACAGTTGCGTTTAATGCAGAGAAATGTGCCCCCCCCCCCCCACCCTCTTATGGTGAGGCCTCTGGAAAATAAAACTCATAAACTGTTGACGCGGCGCGAGAGAGCGAGAGGATGCGCGCGCGTGATTGATTGAGAGGCCGTGATGGATCGCGTGCGCGTGAGCGACCCTGCATTGTGATCTCCGTGTCGCGTCTCCCGTTCTCCTTCTCTCTCCGTCTCTCCCATTTTATTTCCTCTCAACGCTCCATCCATCCATCTCATTCTCTCTCCGTGTCTCATTCTTCTCCTCTCCGCTCTCCGTCTCGCTCCTGCGTCAACTCTCCATCTCTCTCCTTCCCTCGATTCCTCCTCTCTGCCTCTCTTACTCTCTCCACTTTGATATTCCCCCCCCCCCCCCCCCCCCCCCCCCCCCCCCCCCCTCTGCGTCTCTCGTTTTTTCCTCTCCTTTCTCTGTTTCGCTCCTCTCTCAACTCTCGACCCCTCTCTAAATGTATCTCTCCTCCCTCCGCCTCCTCCTCCTCCTCGCTCTCTCTCTCCTCTTGCCCTTCACCGGGATGCATCTCTCTCTCTCTCACGTTTCAGCCGATCAGACAAAACTTCGGTTATCTTGTTTAAAGTTGATTTTTTTTTAATCAAATCAAATTTTGTAAAATATTTTTGTTATTGATTGGTGTCACTGCCAAGTTATTGTCAAGTGGAGCAAAGCGAGTCAAGGAGGCGGACAATGTTCTCCTGGTCTCACCGTCTCCGATGTCCCTCCGATGTCCTTGTCGCATGCTCCCCTCGTCTCTCTGATCTCCTGACCCACCTGTTCTCATTCGCTTATCTCACGGTCTTCTTCACACATCTTCTGATCTCCCGAATACCGTCGCTCCTGGTCACCCCGATATTTCGATCTTCCGATCACCTGATGGTCTGGCGTCCTGATCTGGTCTCCTTATCTTCTGATCTCCTGATTCGATCTCCTAGTTTTCTCCTGATGTGACGTTGTGTTCTCCCTAGTCTCCTTGTCTATCCGGGTCTCATCGTCTCTTCATCTTCCGATCCCATCTCACCACAGCCAACGCAGTATCATCAAATACAATGTTGAATCCTAGTTTCCTGATCTCCTTATCTCTCCGAATCTCAGAGCCTCCCGATCTCTTTCCGATTTCCTGATTCCCTTCCGGTCACTACAATCCCCCTTTTCTCCCCGGTGACCCCAACCCCCCCCCCCCCCCCGTACCCCCCGCCCCCTCCAGGGGGGCCGCGTGCGCCGTTCCGTGTCCCCCGGGCCGCTTCGGCGACAGCTGCGCCGAGCGGTTGCCGCTGTCACAACGGGGCGCAGTGCGACCACGTGACGGGGAGGTGCACGTGCCCGCCAGGGTACACCAGCTCAAGTACTCACTCGCACGCGCTCAAAGACCACCCCCGGTGTGGCGTCCAGCCAGGCTGTTGTGGGAAGTGCTGGATGGGGTGGTGGGGCCAGAAACACGCCCGGCCTCCTTTGTTTCCCCGTTGACGATGTTTTCATTTTCGCATTGCACGGAGTACGGTACTCATCCAAAGGTCCGCGTACGTTCGTGAATAACTTCCCCGCTGATCGAGTGGCGATTGCTCTGTGTTGTGCATGACCAGCAATTGAACTAAGGTCGCATGGGTTCGTTGCACCAAGTGCGAACCCCGCTCCTCCACCGCATCACAACAACAACCACAACCACCCCACCACCACCACCATCTGCTGTGTCTGGCAAGGCCACCCTCCCTTCTCCTTCCCCTCTAAGCTCCCCCCCCACCCAGATCCCCCCCCCCCGCCCCCCCGCCATCTCTCGCCACGCTCTCTCGAGGCCGTGCGCACGCGTCACCGAGCGCGTGTGAGTATGGGAGCGGTGGCGCAGCGGTTAGCGCGCCGAGCCACGGATCCGCCGATCAGAGTTCGATTCCCGCTCACGCCCGAAACCGGTGGCGATTATCTGAACCAGTCCTAGGCAATCCTCTAGGTCAACTCAGCCTCAAATGGGTACCTGGTGTGATGTCTACATATAGCCACTGGTGCTGGCCACCCACCCCCTCGTATGCCGTGCCGGTCTTCATTGGTGCTCGCAAACAGCACTTTCCACAAAAGTCTGTTAAAGGCGATAGGACGGTATTGTTTGTCTCTTGTGTGCTACACGTGTGTGTAGGTGTGTGTAAGGGTATGACTGTAGTGTGTGCCTGTGCGTTTGAGGTCAATTTGCGTCCTTTAATCAACCACACGAGGCCCATTGTGCCGTGATGCCCTTACTGCCGAACCACGTGACGAGCGAAGGGCAGATGCCATTAATTAATTTGCTCTTCATGTGACGAAGAGCGAGAGAATGTTTTATGTTTTTACTTGGCATTTTGTCTGAGACAGAGACGCGCAAGTGACGAGATGTGGGTGGGCGATTTAATTACACGTGGGGGGGGGCGCCTGTCGTGGAAATCGAGCAGTCCGCTTTCGTGCAAAGCGGATCGCCCATAAGGTCGGGGCACCCCGATGTCGGCTGTGCGTACGTGTGTGTGTGTGTATCAGCGGCGTGCGTGTGTGTATGAGCGGCGTGCGTGTGTGTGTATGAGCGGCATGTGTGTGTGTGTATCAGCGGCGTGCGTGTGTGTATGAGCGGCGTGCGTGTGTGTGTATGAGCGGCGTGCGTGTGTGTGTATGAGCGGCGTGCGTGTGTGTATGAGCGGCGTGTGTGTGTGTGTGTATGAGTGGCATGCGTGTGTGTGTATGAGCGGCGTGCGTGTGTGTGTGTATGAGCGGCGTGTGTGTGTGTGTGTATGAGCGGCGTGCGTGTGTGTGTATGAGTGGCGTGTGTGTGTGTGTATGAGCGGCGTGCGTGTGTGTGTATGAGCGACGTACGTGTGTGTGTATGAGCGGCATGCGTGTGTGTGTATGAGCGGCATGCGTGTGTGTGTATGAGCGGCGTGCGTGTGTGTGTGTGTGTATGAGCGGCGTGCGTGTGTGTGTATGAGCGGCATGCGTGTGTGTATGAGCGGCGTGCGTGTGTGTATGAGCGGCGTGCGTGTGTGTGTATGAGCGGCATGCGTGTGTGTGTGTATGAGCGGCATGCGTGTGTGTGTATGAGCGGCATGCGTGTGTGTATATGAGCGGCGTGCGTGTGTGTGTATGAGCGGCATGCGTGTGTGTGTATGAGCGGCGTGTGTGTGTGTGTGTATGAGCGGCGTGCGTGTGTGTGTATGAGCGGCATGCGTGTGTGTGTATGAGCGGCGTACGTGTGTGTATGAGCGGCGTGCGTGTGTGTATGAGCGGCGTGCGTGTGTGTGTATGAGCGGCATGCGTGTGTGTATATATATCTGTACATATTGGGAGCGGTGGTGCAGTGGTGAGCGCACTGCGCTACGAACCCGGCGACTCGAGTTCATTCGCAATGGGGAGACAAAATGCGGGGCCGGGCGTGGTGCAGACCCCCCCCCCCCCACCCCTCCTTCTAAATCCACCCCCTCGTGTGCCGTGCCGGCCTTATCCGGGACTCGCCAACAGCCCTTGCCCCAACAGTCTGTTAAGGCTATGTGGGTGATCTCTGTCGTTGTGCGTGCACGCGCGCGTGAGCCTCACTGCGCGCACGTGTGGCGGACCTCGTGGTGTTGTTTGGTATTCAGGCCACATTGACCTTCCTCTGCTCGCCGCGTGAGCAGAGCGCACATGCGCACTCGCTTATTAATTGCGTTCAGAGATCACGTGAGTGCGTTGACAATGTGCGAGCGTGTGCGTGTGTCTAGCCTCAAGTGAGTACCCGGTGCGGTGTGTAAACATCGCCACTGGGGAGACAAGGCGGCTGGGCGTGTGGCGCTGGCCACCCACCCACTCGCGTGTGTGACATTCCGGCCTTCATAGGCGCTGCTCGCTAACAGCACTTGCCCCAACAGTGTGTTAATGCTATACGGGGGATCTTTGTCTTTTTGTAGTGCTGGCCACCCACCTCCTCGTGTTCCCTGTCGGCTTTTAAATGTGATCGCTAACAGCACTTAGCCAAAACAAAACGTCTGTTGAGGATGTACTGGGGATCTTTGATTTTGTCTTTAATGTGTGGGGGAGTGATGGCGCAGTGGTTAGACGCACTGCGCTGCGAACCCGGCCACCTGCGTTCGATTCTGCGCTCACGACCAATAACGGTGGAAAATATTTGAACTGGTCCTGAGTCGACCTGGGGGGACCTCGCCCAGGTCGACTCAGCCTTAAATGAGTTACGTGGTTCCCCAATTAAATGATGGTGATGAGTCAAATTCTCGACCGGGATTTGGAACTGATCTTATCGCTGCTCCACAGGGTATGCTGACTGAGCATGGGGGGGGGGGGGGGGGGGGGGGGGGGGGTCTGCATTTATTTATATATAAAGTAAAATGCGTACATTTTTAATTGCACTTTCGAAATTATTGAGTCATTTTCACACCCTTTGTGAATTTGAAAAGAAAGAATTTCGGATGATGATCGGAATAACAACCCTTCTTCTAATCCGCATCTGCAACAGTAGCAGTCATTTCACATTCGTGGTTTTTTGCCTTTTAATTTGGGAGGCGTTGGGAAGGGGGCGGGGGGGGGGTGGTGCGTGTGGGTGGAGGGGGGGAGGGCAAGGGAGGCGGGGGATTCAAGTCCCGTGCAGCCACTGACGATCGTCAGTTTGTTTAAATTCCCAACACTCGGACATTGAGCGGGGTTTCGCGCGAACTCCGTCGTCTCGACCACGGTGTCACCGTCGCCTTCGCTGGGAGAAGGAGGGGTTGGTGGCCGCCGGTCGGGTATGGACGTCGCGAGTTGGAGGGAGGGAACGCACCGGGTGGGGGAGGGGGGCAAATCCCCCGCGGAGATGGAGCGATGACATGAAAGCGGTGTACGGGGCCCTGGGAGGATTATTACATCGCATGGCCGCGAGAGATAGCGACGGCTTTGGTGAGGCCATCGTCCAGCAGTGGATTGATCACGGTTGTTGATTGAAGATGATGGAAGATATTTAAAACCTCACTTTTCCTGGGGACAATCCCAGCAAGGGAGAATCTGTTCGCTCCTCTTCTCAGCCCCGGACAGCTCCGCTGAAGCGAACGTTGTGCAATATTGTTTCACATTTTAGTTTCGTGTACACAGAGCTCAAAGGGGCCAGGATTAGAGCAAAAGTGAGCTGACTGCATATTCTGTGAGTCTGGGAGATCGTTCCATTAAAGCGATGATGATGATGCCTCCCCACTCTCCCGCCTTGCCCCTCCCCCCAACCCCCACCACCACCAAGGTGCCAGGACGCGTGCCCCCTGGGCAGGCACGGCCAGGACTGTGCCTTGCCGTGCGACTGCGACAACGGCGCGCGCTGCTTCCACGTGAGCGGCGCGTGTCTCTGCGAGTCGGGCTCGGCGGGGCCCGCTAGTGAGCACCGACTCTGCCCCCCAGGGCTCTACGGCCCCAGCTGCGAGCAGGCGTGCCCCTGCGACCCCGACCACACGGCCAGGTGAGTGGTGGGGGCATGGGGGTAGGGGGCGTGGGGGAAGGTGGGGGGTACATCTGTGCACTCGCTTATGCATCCACCTGTGCAGTTACTAAACTGAACAACTTTGAACAAATATTTTACCAGGTAAGGCCCACTGAGCTATGTAGCTCCTTTTCAGAAGCGACATGGCCAACGCATGATAGCTCTGCGAAGTGGCTTGTCACGTGGAAATGTACAGCAGCCAAATACTTTAAACGCGTGATGTTGATTTTAAAAGTTGGAGGAAAAAAACCGGAGCACCCGGAGAAAAATCCACACGACTACTCGGAGAGAAACACGCAAACTCCAAATATACAGGCGTCAGGGTCGGAGATCGAACCCACGTCCTCCTGTATATCAGACAAGGTAGTTAACATCTCGCCAACCTTACATTAGTCACTCACACACGTTATCACCGGTGGGCTCATCTATCTACTCACCTGCGTACTCGCTGATTCACTCACCTGAGTATTCATTTCCGAACGGCCATATCAGGACATTTGTGTTGCACTGAAAATGTCTCACCTGGAGTGGAACTCATTTCGGGTAAGACACTCGGATCTCAACTCATCCTCATCACGAAATAATCCACCACCAACACCACAACCACCACCACTGTCAACACCAGCACTACCACTACCACAACAGAGCCACTCGCTGTCTCTGGCCACCCCGTGACCACACCGCGTCCCCTCCCACCGCGCACCCTTTTGCTGAGTCCCGGCAGAAGTGAGCGAGCTCTCAGCCGAATTGAGCGGGGCATTGTTCGAGTTGGGGATGAGTGGATTAGCGTTAGGGGTAGGGATAGACTCGAGCTCGATGATTGAATGGCCACGCGATTGTCCCCGCGTGACGCCGCGCGTCACCCCCCCCACTCCCCCCCCCCCACTGCCCCACAGCAGTGGCTCTTAATCAGGTCACGCGCTCCGGGGATACAAACTGGGACTATCGCTTGCCCTCCCGTACCCCCTTCATCCCGACTCCCCACCCCCTCCTCCTCGTTCCCCTCCCGCTACCCCCTCTGTTCTGTGGGTTGGGGGAGGACGGGGGGGGGGGAGTTTGTCCCCGCCGGGGGTATTTGACTCATTCACACAATGTGCGTGTGAATGTGATTGCCTCGAGTCTTGTTTTGAATAATAGCTTTACACGATCATCATCATCATTACTGTTATTGTTATTTAATTGCAGAAGCAAAGATAAACGCGCAGGTCTGCAGTTGCTCGCTCAAGCCACTGCTGGCAGCAAGGCCTCCACCACCACGTTTGGAGGGAGCCCTAGGAGGACCCCTCTACAGAGGCGTACTTATAAAATTAGATTATTATTTTTATATTCTATAATGCTTAAATAATTGTATGGCGGAAGAGTTGCATTGATAGGAGCACAAATTGGTCAGTGTTTTGTGTTCGTTATCCCACCTCTCCGGTGCCGCCGTATCTATTGTTATTATTATTATTATTACGTCTTCGGAACAATTCATTGTTTATTTGTTACACGGAAAATTCCGTTGAGGTTCGGTAGTCACGGCCCGCAGCCAGCGAGCAAAAAGGTTGACAGGAGCCCAGCAAGCAGCCAGCAGCCAGGAAACTCGAGGCATACGTTCAACAAAATGTACTAGTCGTCGTGCGATGATTGTTTGCAGCCAGAGAGATGATTAGCTCGCCAGGAAACACACGCGCACGTGCGTGTGCGCGGACAGCACCCGGTGCTTTAAGGGCCGTGGCTGCGAGGCGCTAAATCTTCCTGGCCGCGCTCTCAGCATTATTACCATAATACACTGTGTTAAGAGCGGCGGAGGTTCCAAATAATTCCGGGTTAATGTGTTCTAAGAAAAAAAAAACCCATCAATTTAATATTGCACACACACGTGGGCGCACACACACGCACGTGGGAACACACACACACGTGGGCGCACACACACACACACACGCGTGGGCACACACACGCGCGTGGGAACACACACACGTACGTGGGCGCACACACACACACACACGCGTGGGCACACACACGCGCGTGGGAACACACACACGTACGTGGGCGCACACACACACGCGTGGGCACACACACACACACGTGGGCGCACACACACACACACACGCGTGGGCACACACACGCGCGTGGGCGCAGACACACACACACGCGCGTGGGCACACACACACACACGTGCGCGCATAGAGTGAGGGAAAAAAGTATTTGATCCCCTGCTGATTTTGTACGTTTGCCCACTGACAAAGAAATTATCAGTCTATAATTTTAATGGTAGGTTTATTTGAACAGTGAGAGACTGAATAACAACAAAAAAATCCAGAAAAACGCATGTCAAAAATGTAATAAATTGGTTTGCATTTTGATGAGGGAAATAAGTATTTGCCCCCCTCTCAATCAGAAGGCTTTCTGGCTCCCAGGTGTCTTTTATACAGGTAACGAGCTGAGATTAGGAGCACACTCTTAAAGGGAGTGCTCCTAATCTCAGCTTCTTACCTGTATAAAAGACACCTGTCCACAAGCAATCAATTAATCAGATTACAAACTCTCCACCATGGCCAAGACCAAAGAGCTCTCCAAGGATGTCAGGGACAAGAATGTAGACCTACACAAGGCTGGAATGGGCTACAAGACCATTGCCAAGCAGCTTGGTGAGAAGGTGACAACAGTTGGTGCGATTATTCGCAAATGGAAGAAACACAAAAGAACTGTCAATCTCCCTCGGCCTGGGGCTCCATGCAAGATTTCACCTCGTGGAGTTGCAATGATCATGAGAACGGTGAGGAATCAGCCCAGAACTACACGGGAGGATCTTGTCAATGATCTCAAGGCAGCTGGGACCACAGTCACCAAGAAAACAATTAATAACACACTACGCCGTGAAGGACTGAAATCCTGCAGCGCCCGCAAGGCCCCCCTGCTCAAGAAAGCACATATACATGCCCGTCTGTAGTTTGCCAATGAACATCTGAATGATTCAGAGGACAAGTGGGTGAAAGTGTTGTGGTCAGATGAGACCAAAATGGAGCTCTTTGGCATCAACTCAACTCGCCGTGTTTGGAGGAGGAGAAATGCTGCCTATGACCCCAAGAACACCATCCCCACCGTCAAACATGGAGGTGGGAACATTATGCTTTGGGGGTGTTTTTCTGCTCAGGGGACAGGACAACTTCACCGCATCAAAGGGACGATGGACGGGGCCATGTACCGTCAAATCTTGGGTGAGAACCTCTTCCCTCAAAGAAGGCAATTTCTAACATTTTTGACATGCGTTTTTCTGGATTTTGTTGTTATCCTGTCTCTCACTGTTCAAATAAACCTAACCTTAAAATTATAGACTGATCATGTCTTAGTCAGTGGGCAAAAGTAACAAAATCAGCAGGGGATCAAATACTTTTTCCCTCACTGTAAGCATGCACGAGCGCACGAGACACGCACAAAAACAAAGATTGCCCGTATAACCTTTAACAGGCTGTTGGGGCAAGTGCTGCTGGCGAGCACCTATGGAATCCGGCACGGTACACGAGCGGGTGGGTGACCACCATAACCACCGGTCGCCTTTGTCTCCCTCGTGCTGACGCTTACACACCGCAGCGGGATTACTCAATTGCAAGGCCGGAGTCTACCTATGGTAGGTCCAGGATCGGTTCAAATATTCGCCGCCATTATTGGCCGTGAATGTGAAATGAACTCGGGACGCCAATCATCGTTCACACGAACGCCGATGCGCGCACCGCACGCGCACGCACCGAGTCTCTGCGCTGGAAATGTAATGTCGTGGGCGAACTCGGCACGTGGAATATGGATTCGCACATTCATGCGGACAGTATTCCGGCTGGGGATGAGCGTCGCCGCACAGATAGGTCACGAAAGCTTTCGCTCTTGAATAAAACATCTGGTCTCGCACGGAGATGATAGAGGTGGGAGGCGGTGCAATGCCCGCCCAACATAAACCATCCCGCCCTCGACGCCACCCCCCGCAGCCGCCCCCACCCCGCCTGCCCACCCCCCCACCACGGAGTTGACAGAATACCTAACGGAGTGGCAGTCGCTGAATTGACCGAGTCCGCAGCTGTAGACGGAGCGATGGACGCGGGTTCGCGTGCAGGTGCGGGGTGGATTGTTGCGTGGCAGGGTCGCGAGATGCGGCGGTGACTTAGAGAGGAAATATTCAGCGATAAACAACGCAATCCTGATCAACAACGCAATCCTGATCAACATCATCAGCATCATCGGCTCGTGTGCATTGGGGCCAGGTGCTACTCCGTAGCTCGTTACGTAGCTGAACCGCAGGACGTGGCAGCGGTTTATCGACGCCTCCATCCAGCAGCGGATTGATCATGGCTGATGGTGACGAGTGGGGCGCCGTGCCCTGCTCTGAGCAGGGCTGGCTGCGTGTGAATATTTATCAATGTAATTGACACGGAATGGCTTCTCATATGAAATATGACAACTTCATTTTCCAGAGATCCCTTCCCCGCCCCCGGCACCAGAAAAGGGAAAGAAATTAATGTTTGTGGAATTTCGAAACGTCCCGTTAGCGGAATTTCCTGCCGTCTGGCATAAGTATAATACATCTTCTATTCCTCTTGCTCTCTCCCCCTCCTCTCTGTCGTGTGTGTGTGAGAGAGAGAGTGAGTGCGCGTGTGTCTCACTGCTGTCACCGTTAGCGGCTGTAATTCCTCGTAAAAGCTCGTGGCTGTAAAGTTGATGTGGGTTTAATTTACTTTGCCCGTGGCGCTGGGAAGAGAACTTCACCGCCCTGCTCCCCCCTCCCTCCCTGCATTCAACGTTACGCAAGCAAAAAAATAGGGGTGCGTGTTAGGGCTAGAGATAGCGTTTAGGGGTTCGTGTTAAGGCTAGATATAGCGTTTAGTGGTTCGTGTTAGGGCTAGAGATAGGGTTTAGGGGTTCGTGTTAGGGCTAGAGATAGGGTTTAGGGGTTCGTGTTAGGACTGGAGGTAGGGTTTAGGGGTTCGTGTTAGGGCTAGAGATAGGGT